GAGGTACTATTTCCTCAAATTTTCTCACCTCAGCCCCAGCCATGGTGGGGCTGAGGACGTTGTGAAATCACGTTTTTGAAGTAGCCCTATGTAAAGTACATACTCAAAGACAATGTTTTTAAGCTTTTCTTTCTATGTTTTTTTCTATGGTATATCACACACACATTAATAAGATCTCTATGGTTGTCAAAAATCCCTGATAAAAGATCATGTTTGTTTAATAATACTACTACTAATAGTAATAATAATAATAACAATGATGATGATGACGATAGTAATAATTGATAATAATATTAATAGCAATAAAACGAGAAGAAAATTGTCAAAAAGTGTCATTTCCGGCCATCCCGAGAGGTACTATTTCCTCAAATTTTCTCACCTCAGCCCCAGCCATGGTGGGGCTGAGATGGTTGTGAAATCACGTTTTTGAAGTAGGCCTATGTAAAGTACATACTCAAAGACAATGTTTTTAAGCTTTGTTTTCTATGGTATACACACCCACATTAATAAGATCTCTATGGTTGTCAAAAATCCCTAATGAAAGATCATGAGAATTTTTTTTGGCGCTTCATTTTGACTAATGGTGATGTGATGATGATGAATTTTACTAAAAGTGTCATTTCTAGCCATCTAGAGGTACTATTTCCTCAAATTTTCTCACCTCAGCCCCAGCCATGGTGGGGCTGAGGTGGGTGTCGACTCACAAAATGCCCTCCCCCTCTACCTTTCAAAACAGATGTGTGCCCTTCCCTGGGTATGATATTAAACTCCATCGAGTCGGCTCCTGATATATGTCTTAGTGATTGCTGTTTGTTTTTAGGATGTGATCTGGTTTTTCATGTCCATTTTTCGTGATTATGACTATTCTGGATAAAGAATGTTTTGAGCAGAGGTGAATTCAAGGCCCCCCCCCCTTCATTTTTTAAAGAAAAAAACAAAAGAAAATTATATTCAAATTGAAGTGCGAGAGTGTAATTTCCGGCCATCTAGAGATGCCTTAATCATAAATTTTCTTACCTCAGCCCCAACCATGGTGGGGCTGAGGTGGGTGGTTCCTCGGTCTGTGAAAGTCCCTGATTTATTATATAATTATTTTTGCGCTTATTTATAATGCGTCTATTGCAATTTTCACTTTATCCTCTCAAACAGTCCTAAGAACGTTCAGATTGCGCTACTTCACAGGGGGATTCGCCCCCTTGACCCCGCCGGGGTCATACGTAATTCGCATAACGGCTCCCCCCCCCCTTTCAAAATCCTAGCTACGTCCCTGCCCTCGCACAATTTGTCATGGCGCAGGTCAGACAGTGGCGTAATGCCTATGCGGGGGGCCCTCTTTAGGCCCAGGAAGACCCCACCAAATTTTTCAAAAAAGTAAATAAAAATGGAGATAAAGAGAAAATTATATTCACAATTTTAAGTGCGTGTGAGTGTCATTTCTGGCCATCTAGACGTGCCATAATAATACATTTTCTTATCTCAGCCCCACAAGGGCGCGGGCAACAGCATGTATATGTGTGTCTGAAATCGACTGCTAGGACATATCATATTATATCTAGTGGCGGATAAAGAGTGAGTGGGGTGGGGGGATAAAAAAAATTATATTCACAATTTTATGTCTGTGAAGTTCCATTTCCGGCCATCTAAAGGTGCCATATTCATAAATTTTCTTACCTCCCTGGCCTTAATTTTTTGGATCCAAATTATATCATTTATTCGTCGTTAAAAACATTTAGAATAACAATGCACATCCAGGGGTGGCGCCAGTGGGAGGGGGGTGCGGGGAGAGCTCCTCCCCCCACCGTCGGGGAGAAAAGCACAATTCGTCGGAGAAAAAAAAATTATATGTATTTTATACATATTAGTAAACTATAAAATTGATTAAATAAGCCTTTGAAACCCCGAAACTGTCAATAATTTTTTACTTTTTCTTTTTCTTTTTTCCCCCTTTTTTTTCTCACTTTCCAAAAAAAAGTAGAGGGGCGACCGGCCGGCTCCCCACCCCTACATCCGCCCCTGGTATTCTACCGTCAAATATCAGTTTATTACTTATAGACAAAAGAACTATTAATAGTCATTGGCGGCAATCCAATTGATGAATGTTCGAGAGTGTATATGGGAATTCCCAAGTACGACATTATTAGCCTACGCAATGCAATAAATAGATTCGTGTCGGACGTTTTAGAGAGGTAGGTTTATGTTGAGTATCAGTATAATCTAATTTACAGTGCTAACACCCCTAGTGATATTGTTTTAATTGATTAATTGTTATTATTGTTAGCTAAAAATAGAATAGGCCTCCCCTTTGCTTAAGTGTAGGCATTTATTTGAGGTGATTGGCCGAGCAGTTTAAGTCAGGGGCACCGTAACCTTCAGCTCTAATATCGGCGCTGGTTCGAACGGCTCACTCGCCAATGGGTCCTACTACTATTACTACTAGGCCTACTACTACTACTACTACTACTACTACTACTACTACTACTAATAATAATAATAATAATAATAATAATAATAATAATAATAATGATAATAATAATAATTAATGATAATATAATAATTTTATAATAATTTAAAATTTAAGCCAAATGGTTCAATCATGTAAGATGTACCGTAGTTAGCCTATACAGATAAATACGGGTAAGTATTCGGTAATGTTTAATTTTAATTCGTGTTCAGATTATGCTATTACGAAATTACAAAACGGGGAGACTTGGGAAGACACGGGCGCTTTGTATTTCCCTACCCCGAATGGGAAACCATGTGGTCACTGGTTCAATCGAAATAACGACCGCTTCGCTCGAGCCCCCACTCTCCTTATCAGGGCATTCGCACTTGGGACTAAATTATTTCAGAACACTCTCATAGTCCTAAATAATTGTAAGAAACCGCCGCTATCTCTAAAGGGTTCGATAAAAAGTTATTATGTTGATAATATGACTAAAGCGTAGATGGCGTGTTAGAAACTGGGATTTCCAACAGAAAATCCAAACTGCGAAAGATTTGTATTTATAGTTCTAGCGCCTAATGATATTCTCAGTGCTCAATGCAGCTCGAACTTGGTGTGACTAACATTACCGTGTATTAATCGGAGAGTGGAAGTTTACTTGGCCTATTATAGCCATTGTTTATACAGGTAAGTAACGACATTTCCCTATCATGGTAATGATACAAGGCACAGTCATTATCATCATTTGTTTATAATTTTACTTTGCCTATAAAATCACCGTTATGGATACACTGTCCAATTCACACCATACGAATTAAGTCGTGTGGGTAGTGAGTAAAGAAGAATATAATGGAAAATGATAATTATGGTAGGCCTATGTTATGTGTTCGTCACATCTAAATTTTTGTTATTTTTTAAAGATGGAGTTTAATGAATAGCCTTGTACATGCATAAAATCACTGTAACTAGACGTTAAGTATAGGCCTGTATATTTTGATATGTAAGCGACGGACACCCCGCGATTACGGGGTTAAATCAATGAGTCAATTTGGAATTTCCCAACAAGTAATTTTCATAACGAGACAATTTCGACTTGTACGTTTAGTTGACAACGATTTTTTCTTTAGTAGGCCTACTATTTTAATTTGGTGGTTCATTAACAAAATTGTTTAAGTTACCGAAACCAGGGTAAGTTAATGGGCGTTAATTTTTTTGAGTGATCAAAACAATACCGGAAATATTTGCATTGGTATTATCTAGCTTAAATTTCAGGAAAGAGTAATTGTATTATTTGTCCTCCCCCACCCCGACGGTGACATAATGTCTAACATATTATTCGACAATAAAAAGGCGTCATACGATTCTTGGATTCTTCTCTACTGGTATTTTTGTTTATTAAATGAATATTTGCATAATGCATTTCCAGAATTAAATATTAAATTAGTTTAATTTAAATAAAGGTGTTGCACGGACTGATTGCTTTCATAATTAAAGTTTTATGGTTTTGTCAAATAGACTACTTCAGGAACCCTCTTATGATTTGAGGATATTGAATTCATTAGCTTAGTATATGCATTGAACAGTGCTAGTCCTAGCCTTCGTTATAACATACCAATATGATACGCTATCACCTTAAGCAGCACCTTCAACTTGCAGATTAGCTGTTACAGTATACTTTCTAATAAATGATGATACTGTTGTTACTAAGAAATTGTCTTGCAATACAATTTTATATATATAATTATATATATAATTATATATTATATATAATTATATATATTAATATATATAAATAAGTAATCAATGACACTAGGTTACAAACTCAACATTTTATTTTGCAAAATAAAATGTTGAGTTTGTAACCTAGTGTCTTTGATTACTTATTTATATTGCTCTACGTGTGTATTGAGCAATTTCGTCTTCATGATCTGGTTCAAACTAACCACGCAGATTACATACATGCCATATATATACATACATATATACATATATATACATACATACAAACACAAGTATTAAGGTACCAGATCGTTTGGGCAGAGTGCTCAATACCACTAAGGGTAGAGCTTAATAAATCAAACTACAAAAATGAACTTGGCTTACTTCATCATGTTTATTCTCAGACTACAAATCTGTTTCATATGGCCAGCAGGGCTGGCCACACTCGTCGGGTCGAACTACAAAACATAAATTGCACAACTTAGGCCTACACGATCATGCATATTATAATTAGTTATAAAGTGAACAATACATAGCATGTCTAATTAGCTGATTATATAGAGATTGTTTATATTTGTTTATATCAGGAAGATAATGGCTTAGTTATCTATGACTGAGTAAAAATTTCCTTCTATGTCTGCATGTTGATACTAGTTCATTTTTACTGTTAAGTGAACATAGCTCAGGATCTGTCTCTTATACACATCTAGATGTGTATAAGAGACAGGCATTACTCACATAAGTGATATCATGCAATATACGGTAATTATAATTCGTAAATCTATGGTATACAGTAGCAGCAGTAATTGCAGTTGTGGACGCGTCAGTTTAAAAAAATTTATGACATTATCTGGTCAATTACCTTTATTTTATCCAACTGTTTTCCTGAAATATCAATTTTTTTTTTTTTTTTTTACTTTTTTTTTTTTTTTTTTTTTTTTTTTATAAAAAAAAAAAAAAAGGGGGGAGGGGGTCCTGTCCACATTGTAGGTTTAGCTAATTACTAGTTAATAGATTGAAGACTGTTATTTTTGGTTCTTTGGAAAAGTGGTCTCGAATTAGAGGGTTCTTTAGAGGGGTCCCGAATGGAGGGTGTACTTCACCTGTAGGCTATTATACGTCTTCTATAATGCCTACGTCTAGTGTTCGATATTGATGATTTTGGAATTGTAATATATTGTAATATATAATGTAACGTAAGCCTAGGCCTATACGTGCCCGACGAAACGTCATTATTGCGTTGTCGGGTTTATTCAATTGAAATAGACTTAAAAATAATTTTAAGAGCTAAATATAGCTACCAGGTAAATTACGCTTTTTTGTTTTGGTGTTTACAAACTTTCATATCGTCCTACATATTGGCGTGGATCCAGATTCTAAAATATAATTTGGAAATTTCCCATACAATTTGTATACTGTAAATAGCTGCAACAAAAATGCTATATTTATCATCAACCATAGAAAAGATCTCTGCAAAGCACCAAGAGAAGACAGGTAAGTTAAGATCAGTATTACTACTTTAAATACTACAATTATCGAACTGTATGCCAGATCATGACTTTTGTTCGCGAAAGAAATTAAAGAAGGTGAACATTATTCTATCGACAAAGAGTCAAAGGATCACCGATTGCGGCCAGAGAATTAATTTGATCATGTCCATGATCTAACTAGACAAACGAGGTTTTGATTTTTTTCGCATAAAGATGGGGTAAAAAAGGAAAGGTGGTAGGAGTAGGCCGAATTAAAATTAATGTAAATTTGCAGACTTCGTTGCGTGAAACCTTTTCCTCAGACTCAATGTTCACGGTCTGTTAATTTTGTTACTGTTGTTTGTTATTGTTAAAGTACTATTATTTTTATTTTTGTTGTTGATGTTGTTGTTGTTGTTGGTCGCTGCTATTGGTATTCGCATTGTTCTTATTGATGCTGTTGTTATTGTTATTATTACTGCTGTCGTTGTTGAGTGTTTCTATAAGAGAGTTTTCGCAAGCTTTACGAAAACGATAACGAATACTTCATCATTTTCTTAGACAACCCTTCCCCTAAAACAGCTAATACAGCATATTGTCTAGAATGTTTTAGGCAAGAATGACGATAATGGAGATGACGAATTCGTATTCGTTTTCGTAAGTTTGCGAAATCTCTATTGTTATTTGCGTTGTTCTTATTGTTTTTTGTAGCTGTTTGCTGCTGTTCTTAATTATTGTTGTTGTTGTCGTCGATGTTGTTAATTTCAATGTACTAGTTTGCTGTTGTTATTATTATTTTAACTGTTATTGCTAGAAATACGTAATTAATGAGCCTAGATAAAACAAATTTTCTCATTTCAAGTAGGGCCACTAACTATACTGATCCTGTCATGGCAACCCAAAATACACGAAAACGTGATTCAGACATGGAAGAGAATAGAATTACATACGAAAACAAAGAAAGAAGGTGCTTCACGGTTGACGTAACCGTATAAAATAAAACACGGGTAGCACTTTTTTGAGTAACTTAGATAGTTCATTACACGATCTTTGGCAAGCAGTCTATGCCGGCTTCATCAAGTGCAGATTGCTATGGATGAAGCCAGCATGGGGCGCAGGTAGAGGGAGCCAATGGGGTCCTGACCCCCTCAAAAGATATCACGATTATAGCAGAAAATGATCGGTAATGTGAAAAAAAACCACAAATTTTTACTATGATTTACAGAGTGACTCTTGCCTCAGACCCGGAGCACACTCCGTATCATTTATATACAGTATCTCGAATATTGTTCGTTCAGCTATAATTGTTGAAATAAAATAAAGTTTAAATTAAAAAAAAAAACATTTTGTTACAATCATGGTAACTCTCTGGTTACCATGCGTAGCAACTGAAAACAGTGTAATTTATTACAGTATTATATGGTATATTGAGGAAGAACGTAAATAAACTCTTCCCTGGTATAATACAGTTTAACCTCCGTGCGGCGACCTAACGGAAGCGATCGCCTCCCTTTACGTCCACTCTCATATGGTCCCGTTTGTTCTCTCTATCTAATTTCTTTGATTTACCTCCCGTAAGCGACGACCTTAAAAGTAATATCTTTTGACAACAAATACATTCAGATTATCTAACAAGTCGAGTTTATGTGTAAAATAATTTGTAAACAAAAATTGAATTTGAACCGAAAATTAGAGGCGGCGATGGTGCAACGTTACGTGTGTCAAACAAATATTATAGGCTTAAGAATATAAAGGCGATAAGATAAATAGGCCTATGCTTTATCACGTCCAAGAAAATGCTTGCAGTGTAGGTAACAGCAAAACCGGGGAGCAGTGTAATGTCACTGTTCCCTGGAAAAACATACCTGCTTTAAAAATATTTTAAAATAGGCCTTCATCGGAGGTTCATGGCTATAAAATCATTACCCCTTTCTTGGTGGAACCAGGAAAGAGTGAAATCTCACACCAAAATGTATTTCCTTGTTTAAATTTATTGCGTTGATGCTGAAGTGATTCGAGCAACGAGGCTGGGGGCCAGGGGCGACAAGCCCCCCTCCCCCGATTGGGGGCCTGAGGCCAACAAGGGCCCCGGTTGCGGTCCAGTGGCCCTTGTCGGCCCCTGGCCTCAGCCAGTTGCTCGCTGCGCTCGCAAGACTTGACGCCCCTTAAATTTTACCCTTTCTGCGCCCCTGCATGGGCTGCTGGCCAAAGCTCGTGTAATAAACTATTTAAGTTAGTCAAAAAAGTGCTACCCGTGTTCTATTTTACACGGTTATAAAATTGAAATGGCTTCCTGGTTATTCCTGTTGTCGACCATTAACCGAAGATTTATTGCATGGGTGGTAAGTAAAATAAACCTGAAGTTTTGTTATAAATACGGTAGGCCTACTGGTATCTGTCTTTTTGAGTTCAGAATTAGAACATTTGAATGAGAAATTATTTTTCTCATCAACTGAAAGCATGAACATTTGTAAATCACAGAAAATAATCCGTTTTTCTTTATTATGAAGTTATTATCAATTGAATATTTTCATTGATTCTTTTTAAGGTTTTAAAAATTTAAATACAGACAGTGTATTTTATCATTAACGCTATAACATTAAGATTATATCAACATTATTAGTCCATTTACCACATATTGGATTTTTTCAAAAGCCTAGATTTTTTTTTCTCTTGATTTTAGAGATTGCCATGATATTACCGCCGACAATTTCCAGGATTATGTGATAAGCAATAGAAAACAGTGATCTGGTTTGTGCGACACAGTTGACACAGATTCAACTAATAACTTGGATGCAGTAACACGCGAAACAAGATTTTTGGTTTTTAGCAGAACAATTTGCAAACACTGCAACTTAAAACGTTGATAGTACTGGCAATGAGAAACTCAAGATTTCGGGACGCCTGTGATGATGCTAGCTCTCCTATTAAAATGTGGCCGCAGGAACCTAAAACTATGTCTATCGTCTGGTGGTATGACAATCGCCATGATAACGAAAGGCTGCAGATTCGAATCCCGCCAGAGACATGTTTTTCAAATATCTAAAAAGATTTTTGTTAAAAACTATACAATAAGCAACACTACTAGACTGGCAAACGTTTTATATGACAAAAGAATAGGTCAGCTTAACCGTACGCCATGCGGAGGTATTACGAATTGGCACATTGACTTCTGATTACTGTCTTAAAATTAAAAAAAAATCATAATAATGATTTAGGCCTAGGCCTACTTACCAAGGATATTTTATTATATATTTTTTTTAGTTTTTCATCCGTTCTTTCTTTGTTAGTTTTATTATCTATTCAATAACACAAACACAATCTATGATATATAATGTGTGTATAAACATTCTATAATAGGCCCATGTATACAGCATAATTATTTGTACATATTAACAATCTTTTTATTTATCTATTGTCGGGTTTAGCAAAATTTTAGTTGTCATGGTAATGATATATTGATCCATTTTGTACACGCCTCCCACTCCCTCCAATTCTGGATAGATATTTGGGCTATGATGATATGTGTTTACTTAGGACTATATCAAAATTTGCATCCATAAATGTGAAAAAACATATTCTGACTACTTAATGTGCGCAGTAATTAATTTAGCATTTACCAAAAGTAAACTCAAGTCAACATGAACCAATCTCAAGGTAACGTATAGAAAAATGTTAAGAAAGTTATAATACCAAAGATATTATGTTTATAAGATGTTTACTTACAGGCCTACTATAAGAAATGTTTACACGTTCCTCCCAATCCTACTAACAAGCCTTTCCCGGCAATTGTTTGTAACATAAATGCTATTTAAATTAAGTTGTATGTTCATTTAAGAAAAAAAAGTAAAATAAGATTTTGTTTTTTATAATCTATTTAAGAAGATTTACATCAATTCTTTTAGTACTAAAAAATGAAAATGAGATTTTTTGAAATTTTATTTTTAGAATAATAGATGTGTACAATACTTTTGTTTTATTTAAAATGTTAATTTGCTGGGTGGTTCTCATGCTTGTGACCCCTGGACTTGGTGGGAGTCTTCCAGATCTTACAATTTCAATTTTCTTTTATACTTATTTGTAATATGATTTTTAGATTTGAATAAATTGTTTTGTGATTGTGATTGATTGTATGGTTAATGTTCAAGTTGCCACACTGTCGACTAGGCCCTATTTTAAACGACTATCGCGTTTTTTTAAGGACATATTTTTTATTAATATGCTCTGTAGAATTTGGACTAACTAACTAATATCAAAATGGAATCCACTTGTACCGCATTATCTCATAAATATAAAGTAAGTTGTTTATTCAACAGTTGCACATTGACACATTCTATAGGCACAGCCTTAGCTATGAGACAGTAATTTTTCAAATCAAAAACCTTATCACAATGCTTCATTTCCAGCAAGCCGATATGCGCTGCACACGGTAAAGCAGATTATTTATTATGACTTACAAAAAGCAGGTAAACAACATCATTATCATAATTAAATATCATATTTATCATTTAACAATACGAAACGTTGACGTTTTTGTAGGTCATGGCGTCGGGTTTCACATTCAATTGGCAGAGCCTTCATGCAAATTTGTTCAGATCTAAATATAGCACCAGGGAATTCCCAACATTGTGTTTACAAGCCAAAGTCAATGGCATAACGAGAACATGGTCGGGTGGTTTCAATCAATGATTGATTGTAAACACATGATTAGTTTGATGATTTTATTATCACTCGAGGTCTCTAGTTGATTTCGTTTACAAATGCAATCTACTGTATACAGAAAATGTGTAGTGAGAAGTGAATAAAACTCCAAATAATAATTATATTGTTGTAGGCCTATTATCTTGTTTACGAGGTCAATTTCGGGAAGGCCTAATGCATGGAACAGTGTGACAATATAGGCAGTGTGGCGGGCTTGCTATGTCTAGGAGGTGTGGACCCCCTAAACCCCCCGTCGCACCGCCCCCATTGAAAATGTTCGAAGCAAAAAAATCACGCTTGAGTAGTTAAAAATCACCTCAAATCACTTATTTTACAAGCTTCCAACCCTCGCCTCATTGAGCCCCCTCTTCATCCCCGCGCCGCATCCCATGAGCTCCCACCACCACTTGAAGACTCCAAGATACGCCACTGTCCGATTCAAACAATGTTATTGTGATTGTCAACCCCTCGTGTGCTAATCCAAAACCATAAAAGTCATTTAATTCTGAGACCATAGACAGAGGCTATAGCCGGACCTCTTGGTTCATATCCCCTGTCTGAAGCCAAAATGTGTAGTGACAAGTGAATAAAACTCCAAATAATAATTATATTGTTGTATACGCCTATTATCTTGTTTACGAGGCCAATATCGGGAAGGCCTAATGCATGGAACAGCGTGACAATATTATAGGAACAGTGTGACAATATAGGCAGTGTGGCGGGCTTGCTATGTCTAGGAGGTGTGCACCCCCTAAACCCCCCGTCGCACCGCCCCCATTGAAAATGTTCGAAGCAAAAAAATCACGCTTGAGTAGTTAAAAATCACCTCAAATCACTTATTTTACAAGCTTCCAACCCTCGCCTCATTGAGCCCCATCTTCACCCCCCGCGCCGCATCCCATCAGCCCCCACCACCGTTCGAAGACTCCAAGATACGCCACTGTCCGATTCAAACAATGTTATTGTGATTGTCAACCCCTCATGTGCTAATCCAAAACCAAAAAAGTCATTTAATTCTGAGACCATGACAGAGGCTATAGCCGGACTTCTTGGTTCATATCCCCTGTCTGAAGCCAACAAGAACACAGGCCTACAAATACCGTAACGTAAAGAAATACCATTATGCCCACAATAACGATATTAATGCAACATAGACCTAAAATACTGAATTTCGAAAAGTATAAGAATATTAATAGGCAGAATTTTGGAATTTCCCATAATAGCGAATTCCTATATCAGCTACAGTATAATTCTGTAATTCACACGAAGTTTCACTGTGTAATCTACGGGAGATAACAGCCAGGGCAGTGATAATGTGCGACAGAAACTATGACAAAATAATGGAATTTCCAGTGTGTCGCAATCGTTTAAAATAATTCTTGTGATTCTTAACAAACAAATAAAACAAACTGATTGATTGATGATTTATTCAGTTTCATGCATAAATACATAGTTATACCAAAAAAAAAATGACAAGAAAAATAGAGACTAATGAAACATAAAAAAGTGAAAATGATACCGCATTTCCAATGGGGTACAAGGTAATATAAAATGTCTGCATAAGATAATTTAAGTCAGAATTACGCGCATGTCCCAAAAGCACACATGTACTCTGTTTAAGCTCACACACCTTAGCAACACTGAATGTCCAAACTTAGCTGAAATGTTCGTTTTCAATACACGGGATGGGCTGAGAGGCTAGACGTGCGCGGTCGACGCACGCGCACCACACACACTTTTATATAAAGAACAGCGCGCAAAGAATTTTTGATACCATTATTATAAGAGGAAACTAGGTAAAGGTATGAAATTTATTTTTTAGAACCATTATGTACGTACTTATAACCTAATTTCACAACGTTTGAACGTTTTTACAACGTTGTGTGAACGTTTTGCTGTGACATACCTAACCACAACTTTCGCGAAAGTTATAAGAACGTTTTGTGTTTGCTGGGATGTTGGCTGCCTTTCTTCTTTACATAACCTTTAAATAGGCCTATTTTGTAAACAAATTGAATAACAAGAAAGTAATGTAATGCCGGTTTTTTTTTTTTTTTTTTTTTTTTTTTTTTTTTTTTAGCGCATGAAACAATCCATGAAGTATTTGCTGTCAAATTAACGACAACTCAGGTTTCTAGAAAGAATATTGGGAATTCCCATACAAACTGCATATATAAATGCAACGGAAGTGATATATTTATCATTTTTACGAAGATCTCAGCTGGGCAGCAAGATTCTCTTGGAAAGGTGAGTCTATATTTTAGTATTTTAGACTAATATCTGTCTCTTATACACATCTAGATGTGTATAAGAGACAGCAAACGTCTCATCAACCAACACAACAGCCCGCTGCCAGACGATTATTCTCACCAACGCCGAGACCAACATCGGAAAACGACGGTCCAGGGGGAATTGTTATGTTAGGTGGGGAGATACCCATAAGCAATGATCAGTTCCACCGTTGCATGGCATCTAGTCATACAGCGACTGCCCTTGCCAGACTGCTAGTTGAGTGTATGTTTACATCCGATGAACTGGCCAAATCTAATCTTCACAGGATAGCCACAAAGGTGAATGGCCAACGAAAGGAATGGGCACCCCTATCCCCAAACAGAATGAGAGCAATTTTCAGGCAGGTGGAAATGGAATTTCCGGGTTCTACTAAATCCCAGGAAAAGGCCCTAAGGGAAGCAGTAAATGGCAAATGTCGATCGCATAGGCCTGCCAACGATCACCGACAATGATGTAC